GCAAGACAGAACTGAGTGGACGGTCTGTACTCCATTTACCTGACAGCCCTGAGCCATGAAGGAATGAGGTGATACATATTGAGAACATAACACACAGCACGAGCACCAGTACAAGCATTTGGATGTTTCTTAGATAAGTATTCACAAGAAATAATCTAAAGGGTGCAGGAGCAAACATACCCATAGCACACTTACTCTCCAGAGTCATATTAGTACTGTTAGAAACAAAAGAATTTCAAATCTGTATTTTCAGGTGATACCATTTGAAAAGGATTCAGAATTAAAATCAAGAGCAGAAGGGTGACCGGCAGCCAGGTGCACTTGCAACAGAAGAGATGCAATTAAACGCTTGCATCTATGAGTTGTGCCCTCAAAGCTTTCACAGTACAACTTTAAGATAAGGTTAATAGGCTAATAAGTGAGAGACAGCATGGACTGTGAGTCTTACATTGCTTTAAAATAAGCTTTGTAACAGAAAAGCCAGACATGGTAATGTTTTACAGGGATTTAAAACAAACATTTTTCATGCATTAATTCAATGAGCACATTGGCTGTGGGCAGGATTTAGACCAGCGTATCTGTTTACCATGACGAATTTTATCAATAGCAACAGCATTGCTACACGTAACGATAACCAAAGAAATCTTGATCTTGACTTAATTCAATGCACAAAGTATTAGCAAATTTAATCAAAATTCTATCTCCTTTCTAAGCATTTAAATAATTATTCTTTTTCAAGCATTCAGTCTATTCTTACCATTGCAATCTGGTCTCACAAAAACTTGGCTAGAGTTTAAAAATTTAAAGGCCAGGGTTAGAAAGGAAAAGGAAAGTTGTACTCATTTGCAGCATCTTTGCTAAGAATGCATTAATTAGATCCTACATCATGCCAGTGTTACCGTTTGTTACTTAACTAAGGAAAAAAATAGTTGCTTAAGTTTAGTGTCCATACATTTACAAGTAGCTACTGAATATTATCTAAGAAAAAGCTTCTCAAAACAAGGTTTTTCAGGAAGAGCTGTCTCCAAGATAACAGAAGAAGGAAGACACATTCTTTTATGGACTGTTTCAGATGAAAAGGGATTTGGATTTGCCTGCATTTTCTTCTGGGGCTATTAATTATTCCACTGTCAGCTTCCTCTGTTATATTAGAACTATCCACCAAATTATCTACCAAGATTGAAATTGTAGCTATACAGCTGCAGTTACTATAATGATGAACTCAACCACATACAGATACAAATCAAGAAGCTGAAAAGCAACATGCACTGCAGGGATTTAGCTCTGTACTCATTAAGACTAAACACCATAAGGAGTGTTGGGTCCTATTAGCCTTTTATGTTCAGACGAATATGAAAAATCCAGATTTCTTGTGTGTGGAGCTCACAAAGGTCGAAAGGCATGCTTATTTCACTAGGATACAGCTTTATTTCTATGAATTTGATTTTAGCAGCTGAGATGAAAACAGTGAGACAGCAATGTCACATTTTGAGGTGCTATTAATAACAATCAATGCCATGCTTCAGACAGAGGAAAATTACAATAAAAATCTTTTTAAATCTGAAGAATCATTTGTTTTTCTTGACACAAACATCTCTTGCAACAAAATGGGATGTGTTACAAGCTTTTAGAAACTAGATGTCACAGAAACAGTAACTAAAAGAAATAGTCAAAGGGTTTCATCAGCATCCTTGAAGACAGAGTTTTGCAGCAGCTATATGCAGTAAGCATCAGAATTCAATACAAAACTTACCATGGAAGAGACAACCAAACCAACTGACATGTTTTGCTCAAGAGCTCAAGTATAGGTTTCTCCCAATCACTGAAACTCAATTTTCATGGTTTCCTTCCTCCTAAGACTTTCCTGTATAGACATCTAGAGCCAAATACACACTATATATGTCAATCAGTCTATTCTCTTCCCTTCCCTCTTCCTTCCCTGCTATAGTTTATTCCTGACACACTACAGCAAAATCAGAAGGTAAATAACAATAAGCCTCACTGTTAACAACATGGATTGAAATCTGCAACAGGTAGGTGCTTATCCACTCACTTTCTCTGCATTATGAAGGCAATATTTCAGAAGGAATATTCTGACAAAGCCAGAAAACTCTGCAATGCTTAGCTAGCAAAATAGGTCAAGCATTTGAGGATAAGCTCAGCTAAAAATATCTTAGTTCACGAGATCTGACTAAAAGATGAGGTTTGCCTGAGCAAAGGTGTTTATCACTAGGGTCTGAATGTGCATTTCCCCATCTGCAAAGCTGCATCTCCCAGAGCGGAGTAAGTTGAGTCCAGTGGAGGGTGAGACAGGGGACATGCTGCAAATCTTGTAATTCATGATGGACAGCAATACAGTAACTCCATCATTCACCTTCAAGACTCAACTGCTTTCCAGATCAAAACAAACTGCCAAATTCCTGAGCAATCTCTGTTTTGGGGAATTTTTGGAGTGGGGAGTTGTTTGTTTGGAAGGTGGGGGGGAATGTTCTGGTTTTGAAAAGGACCAGTCCTTAATGTAATTATTTTATTTGAAGATCTGCTAAAAGAATTAACAACGACCTAACTTACACAACTTAAATAGCAACTTACTCTTTCTTGCCATTTACAAGTTATATTACATTTACCTCTCTTGATGATAAAATTCTGTTGATCATTTCTTGCCAAGCCAAACATCCTTGGGTGCCCATTTTTATAATTAAACTTCTAAAATTAACCTAAAAACAGCTGTGCTTTTTAATCCTTATAGTAGGGCCACTGTTAATGACTTCTTGCAGCTAAAGACCTGCTTGTACTCATACTGATAACATTATCTTAATTCGTCCTTGACTTTAAAAAAGTATTACATGGTAACCAGCTCCTCTTCTCATTCCCACAGCACTTAAAAAACAAACAAAACCAAACACTGCTCAAAAGCAGACTTTTCCTAAACACTGACAATCCTCTGGAAACCTACTGATCATTTTTCCTGTTTGCCAAGTGGGTTTCATTGTGTGAAGTCTGGACACTTCACTACAAATGAAGGATTCTTCCCCTTCCACCACAAAACAAAGCTTAACCAAAATAATTATGAGTTTTGAAAAGTGTTATTTTGCTAGTATACGCACATCCCAAATTGACTGACTGTACACTTTTAACATCACCTGTTTACTTCAAAGGAAATGTAACAGCAGTGAATGGCAGGTTAGACTCAAAAGGAGAGTAGAGACAAGGCAAGACATGAAGGTTAATAAACATGGAACCACAGGTGGAGCAGCAGCTAGGAAAATGTAAAGAAAAAATGAGAACCCATGAGTGGGTATAAAAGACTGTTTTTCAGAAGGGTACATGGAAATCATGCTTAGGGAAAAGTCTTCATGGTAGGAGGGATCCAGGAAACTAACACCTACTTTTCAGAAAAGGCTAGAGAAAGGACATCCAGATACAGAATTAAAATGTGTTAAGAAAAAACTTCTAGTCCTAATCTAACACATCTTCCCCACAAACTACTCCTTTTAAAAGTAGCTGTCCTAAGTCACAGTGTGACTATGCTTCCAAGAATACCTAAGTAATTTCTGGTGACTGGTACCATGCCTACACTTGCAATTCCCACTTACACTGAGTGACTGAGCTGAGTAGTACCTTACTCAAGACTGGAAGAGTCAACTGTAGTTTAGGTTGAAAGGTTGAAATGTCCTCTGGTTTACTAATACTGCTTTTGTCCTGTCAGGTGCACTGAAACAATCTTTTTTTTTTTCCAGAAGCATTAACACCAGTGTTTTCTCCACGGGCTATTTTGACTAAATTTAACACATTGTTGTGGCTTAACTACAGTAGGTGCTAAGTCTTCCACAGCCACTCACTCCCCTGGAATAACATGGGGGGAAAGAATCAAAAGGGTATAAGTGAGAAAACTCAGGGCTTGAGATAAAGAGAGTTTCAAAGCTATAGCAAAAGCTGCCCATGCAAAAAAAGCAAAACAAGAAGCCATTCATCACTTCCCATAAGCAGGCAGGTGTTCAGCCATCCTCAGGGCAGCAGGGCTCCATCACACGTAATGGTGACTTGGGAAGACAAATGCCACCATGACAAACACCTTCTTCCCCAGCTTTATTGCTCAGTACATCATCACATGACAAGGAATGTCCCTTTGGTCAGTTGTAGTCAGCTGTCCTGGCTGTGTCCCCATCCCTACTCCTACTCACTGGTGCAGTAGGGTGAAATAGAAAAGGGCTTGAAGCCGTGCAAGGGCTTGAGCGCTGCTCAGCAGTAACAGAGAACATCCCCGTCTACTCCATGCTGATTTGCAAATCGATACACAATACCATATGGGCTACTATGAAGAAAACAACAACAAAAACAAAAAAAGTCTGTAAATTACTCCAGCAGGAGCCCCTTAGTGATATTCAAACCTTTACTGTATTTGAAATCCGGTCTTATAGAAATTTCCTATTTCCAGTACTGTTTAACAGCTCTTTCTTGTGATTGCAAAGATTTTATTCCTACACTCTATTCTCCTTTTCCACAACTTCTACAACATTTATTATTATTAATACCTTATTATACATTTTCTCTATATGAAAATATATAACCCTCCTGTTGAGGACTTAGCAGAGGACCAGTTGCCTGGTTTCAAAACAGAAATTTGACAAGATGACAGAGCAGCCTAACAAGTATACTGTGAAACTCTGGAAACAAACACACCAGGCTAACTCCTTCATCCCCTCTTGATTTCACTGCCCAAACAATTCAAACATGCTCTAGAAATGGGAAGTATTCCAACAGTGTCTAGCAGACTATTTCAAATGGCTACTTTTTCTTGAGCAAGTGGAAATAAATCAACACGTACTGTAAGGCTGCTTTCAATCTAAATTCTGATGCATTGTTTGTTATCAAGATGCAAAACACTCAGATGACTTTGGTGTTTGTATTTATTCCGAAGATCTTACTTATATGAAAAAGATTAAAATTGAAGTAAGAATTAATAACTAATGATAAGCAATAAAACTGAAAGTACTTACATTAAACTTAATAATGTCGTATATCAAGTACCGAGGAACAACCTGTCCGTTGACCTTGTCGATGATCATTTCCTTAAAAGAAAAGAGAAAGCATTGGCATTTTTTTCATAAATACAGAAGAAGAATGTTGACACATTTATACTTACTGCTTATACAAGCATGATACAAACACCGGCCAGGTCTTTATTACAAAAGAAATTTTAAAACAGGTCAAGATTATAAAAATATTATTGTTGTCTTAAAAGTCTCTCATGAAGCATTCAACAAAATACCAGGAAGCTGTGCTAGGGCTTCCCATTCTGATCTGTAACATTTATACATTAGTTTACCCACAGCTTTCAAAATCTTCAGTGAATAATGAGTTTTTAGAAACCTTAGTAAGAACTGTGATCCTAAGCCAACCAAGCACTACTGGAAATCTTGCCCACAGTCACAACCACAACAGTGAAGATATAAAGAACAAGCATGCACATTAATTTTCTATGTTCAGTTTGGATCTTTTAAGTTTAATTGGATCTTTTAATTTTAAAAGTGTCCTAGGCAGCACTGAGAGCTGCAATTTGCTTGAACATTGAACATTGTTGCATTGTGACTAAACAGGATGGAACCTTCAGACAGAAGCATCACAGACACTCTCTGCATCACATGAAGTCAGCTAACACTCAATATGTACAAGCAAATCAGATGAAAAATAGGCCAGGTAGGGAAAGAACATTATTGATCAACATCCAAACACAAAAGTGTTTCCTGAACTTAATGACACATGCAAAAATACATACACCTTACATGGTGGTGTTACATCTGTAACTCAGGCTTCCTATGACAGGAATCAGGCATAGTATATAGACTTTGATGAATCAACAGGGAAGATTGAAAATGGTAACAAACAAGACCTGGTAGATCTTGTCCAGAGACAACTCTGAAATAACCACTTCTCTAAATGCAATCCATCTTCTCCCCACCTCCCTCCCCTACCCGATTCTTGGCTAATAAATTGTATCACCTACAGATTTCTTTTTTTAATTAAAAAAAAAAAAAAAACATATTACAAGTTAAAAGTTAAAATTCCAAATCCAGACGAACAAGATAAAACAATTGAAAAACATGAAAACAGTTCACTATGACATGATGAAAACAAAACCAGGAGCTCAAGAATTATTCCAAAAAAGAACATTACATCACCTCAAATTTTTTTTATTTAGTTAATGTCTTGCTATTATTATGTCTTACAACCTTTTAATTTTTCTCAGAATCCATAGATTCTACAAAATAAACTCCAAAAAGTCTGATTGACTCATGTAAGATTAATTTTCAGTCTATACAACAATAACAAGATTCTTGAATTATACCTAGCATCTATCCACAATCTGCTTTGAAAAATAAGCAAGCAGTTCAGTTGTAAAAACACAGATTTGGTTTAAAGCAAACAAACATAAAGCTTGAAGCATTGAAAACTAAACTAGAAGACATGAACATGTTGTTCCCAAAAACCACTGGGAAATCTAAGTTGCCTACTTAGTATTTTGGAATGTCATCCTCTGTGCAGCATTCACAGGTGTTCAGAGTGACTCCCCGAGTTGACCTTACACATCATTCCACATAGTTTCTTTTTTAAAATTAAAAATTCAAAAAAACATTAATCCAATGAGTGAAAACTATTCCTTTGTACTATGACAATATCTTCCCTCTAAAAATTTAGTCACAGGCACTGTCAAATAGCACGTGCAAAAAAGGTCTACATAGAAGTGATGTAACAAAATGCCATTCTGCTAGTGTCCAAGACTGAGGCAGGACATTGGTGAGCTCTCAAGGGAGCAGCAGACAGTGCTGCAATGCCTTCTTTGACAATAAATGTCATAACTAACTACAAGAACAGATGGGTACAACTCAAGAGACAGAAGGCATGATATGCAAACTTGGAAGAAGGTGTAAAGATATAATGCAAGGGAAAAAAAACCCAGGATAAAAAGCCCCACCTGAAATTCCTGATAGTAACCTGGTGAAACAAATAACAAAGTAATAGTAAAACAAAAGAATGACATTGTTTTTCATTAACTCTCAGCTGAACTGGCAGGCGAAACAACTTTTTTGGAACACATTTAATTGAGCACATTCTCACGGTTTAAGGCCTCGCTTTCTCAGTATGCATATTCAGAACCTCAGCTTCGATGCAAAGCTAGCATTTGTATGCAAACCCTAATAACATTTCAATGCCTGGTATTACAAGATTTTATGCCTAGTTTTAAAAATCTGAATCTCTGCATATTCAGTTTAAGAAAGATTAAAAAATACAACAAAGAGGACCAAGAACCGTTTTTAAACATCCTTTCAAGTGTTTATTTTTAACTTTTTCTCTACTTCAGACATCCAAACATTTTTATTCTGTTACTGATCAAAGAAGCCTTTTTCCTCATCTCCTCCCTTCTTTTATTCTTCCCCTGCCTCCTGTTCTCTTTGACATCCTGACTGAAATCCCAGCTACTAGAGCAAAAAACAATAGCACAATATGCCTTAGAAGATGAGATGACAAATTCCTGCGCTGCTCATCTCCATCATGACAACAACATTCCCTGCTCCATTAGTTACGCCAATACAACTGTCATAAGGCAAAAACTGTAAAGTGAGCATAGGAATGGTTCAGATTAGAAATGCTCTAACACATCATTATTTTACAGTCTGATTTCAGAATCTTCCCTGAAATTATCAGAATTGAAAAACACACCAGGGAATAGACCCCAGAGACAACTTCAGAGAAGATGGGAAAATGTAGTATTTGAGACCACAATTAAATTCACTCATTCTGACCTGAGTAATAACCTGATACTATAAGACTATATTCAAGCCAATTTTTAGATAACTAAAATCTTAAACCCAAATCCACTCATGTGACATGTTAATATAACGTAACATTATCCATAAGGCACACCTGCATCCATGCAGCAGCTCCTTCTACAGACTCCATGCAGATTTACAGCCAGTATTGCGTGTTTCAAAACTACCTCTGCCACTGGCACTTGTCCATTAGCTGCTGGTTTAGGTATCCACTTAACCCATGGGCCTGAAGAACAAGGTCCAGTGTTCAATTAATGCAATGTAATCTGGCAACACTGTGCTGGTGTGATTCTCCTCAGTCCTGTGGTGTTGCAGAGCACAGCTGTACAGTGTATTAGACCTGCAACAGTGCTAAGAGCTTTTTGCTGGACAAGTACCAGAAGAACAATGCTCAATGGAGAGCTCACAGCTTTTTTCCTTGAATCACATCTCTAGAGAGTAACTTAGACTTAAAATAATCCAAAATTCAGTCACAAAGCAAAGGATCCAATTTTACCAGCCACTTGCAGAATGTATTTTTTGGTTGACATAGAGTATAGAATCAGATCTAATAATATATCTGTCTGTTCTTCCTTTTTCTCCTGTGCCTTTTCTTAATCCTTTATCCATTTACCTTTAATGCAATTCTAGTCACTGCTGTATTTCAGGAATGAAAACAGTTTTTGTTTTGCCTTTTTACTTAAGTCTATTTTGCATAAATCTATTTTGCACCAGCTTTCACAAACTCAAAAAGTTTTAAGTTCTGCAATTTCTGAGACAGCTTACAAATAGAAAAAGTCTCTCCTGACAGAAAAACATAAAAGCATCTTTATCTCATTCTTCATTTATGGAGTTCCTGGCCCTCTTAAGTCTTCAAGTGTAAACAGTATTTTATATAAAAATAAAATAGTTTTAAAAATTGCATTAAAACTGTAAAAGTTACTCCAAGCCTAAGGATGACTCTGAATTTTCTACTCAACTATTCCAAAGCTGAGCAGAATGCCAAAAAAGCTCCTGAAAATAGCTATTTAGCTTTTTTGCATGACCGCCAAAACATCTGAACAAAACTCTGTGCATTCCCTCAGATAGCATTATGGATGCAAAACACTTGGCTTCTAAATGAATAAGTCATACTAGTCACCTGTAGGTTAAATTTAAATAGCTTGAATGAGGTTTGCAGAAAACTTTCTTCCATGACAGGAGAACAATTGCAACTGAAAAGCTGGAGAGGAGCACAGAGTGTTGCAGATCTGTCCTCACCCAAGATGTCACTGATCACATAAGAACTGTTTGCAAGTAATTTCAGCCCAAAATGAACCACAAATGCATCTGAAATTCTCAAAGAGAACCACATGAAAGGCTTACACCAGAGGCCTTAAAGCAAGTTAATAGATCCCTGAATGCATGGAAATTACCTTTATGAAAGTTTCATGTATACTGTCATTTTAAATAATGTTAGGGGGATATTAATCTTTTGTATTCTTAAAATCAATAGTTGCTCACTACATGGCACTGATATTTCTGTTTTCTCTTTCCTTTTTTCTCATATTTTTAAGAATAGTCTAAAGTGATACCAATTGGACCACCTCAATATATACTTTCATTCCCTGAAAGAGAGAAAGCTACTTCAAGGACAGGAAGTATGAACTACTTCAGCCTGTAACTAAAGAATTAATTTCAACAGTCCTTCAAGCACTAATTAGCAAAATATGTTAAGAGAAAAAGCCAACTTCTTCCCATGGAATTAAAAAATAAAACAAAATCAATCATGCATATATCTAGAGTAAAGGATCATTCATGGAAATTTTCATTTGGCATCAACATTAGACAAATATTCAATTACAAAGTTCTTCTGATGCTTCAAACAATAAGCAAGTCTTATCCTCAAACCTGTTAAAGGATTTTCAATTGAAAAAAAAATATTCCACCAGCATCTTTTTATTTAACTGACCATACCAAAACAAATTTAGAAATATGTACTATGAAAAGTATTTATCCATTGAAAGGTTTTAGTTCTATCTCAGGGTACTTCATTCAATTAGTTATTGTTCATTTCATGTCACTTTGCTATTCACTTTATTAAAGAAATAATGTGGGCGAAAAAAAAAATCACACTTAGACTGATTATATGCCAACAAAGTGAAATAACAAAATGCACTATTAACAGTTAAACTTTTACAGAACAACAAATTAAGCAAAGTTATAGTTCATGCCCTGGGTACCTGAGAGAACTTCAGTCATTCTTAAGAGACTTAAACTATAAATCTGGGGAACACAACACACCAGGATCAGAGACCCTCTTCCATGCCCCACAGCTACATTACGCACTTATCTCAATATCCCTGTCTTCCACCATACACATATCAGCCACCTTCACTAAAACATCTGTTTGAAATAAAGAGAATAATTAAATAAACAAATGAAAGAGCAGCCACTTCCCTCAAGAACACCTAGGACTGTACCATATGGACAACAGCAAGTCATTACTTTCTCAAGAGCCTTAGAAGTAGCAGGGGAAAAAAACAGCAATACTAGCTTTGTGATCTCAAAAGCATTGAACCTAATGCATGTCATGAAGAATAATATGTATATAATTCGAAATCTGCCTGGCTGAAGAGGCTCCTACCAGACACGACAGCTTGTGCAACCACTTCTGAGCTGACAGCATGGCATTTCTTGCATTATGCTCTCAATTTTTCAATGAAGCAGAGGTGGTGGAAAATATTCCATTATCTGCTTCTCTATCCCTGAGACAGTACATCGTTCCTTGCAGTAATTATCCTCACAGATTCAATTTATACACACTTCACATGTAAATGTGTGCTCAGTAAGACACATCATTCACAGAAGTGACATTTCAAATAGAATACTGACAACAAGGGCCTGAGAAAGGAAAGAAATTTAATAAAGACAATATGGCTGAAAAGTGCAATAGGCTTCAGAGGATCAATATGGAAGCTATCTCAGGTACAAAAATACTTCATCAAGCAGGAGTTACAGCAATGTACTGAAACATAAAAGGAAACTGCATTGATCTATTAGTGTAAGAGCTAGTGAAATTCTCTCCGTCATGTGAAATGGGACAGTCAAGAAAGAAATAATTTCTTCTTGTGGCTACAGTTGTGAAAAGTTTGCCAACAATAGTCCAGCCCAACCTCCAAATACACAAATCCATATGTTTTACAGCTTGTTTTACAACTGGGTCAAAAAGTTCATTAGCAAGTTTACATAATTTAAATTAGCATAGCAACTTATAGAAGTTTTAGCCTTAAACAAAAATAATTAAGCTGTTTCTAAATCATTCAAAAATTCCAATCAGCTGAAAATAAAGGTGACAGAAACAAACACATCAATTCACAAAAGTGTATCAAAACATCATGAAAATTGTATAAAATTTTAGAAGTATTTCCATAAGCTGGATAAAATTGACCATGTTTACTATTTCAAAATATAAAGCTGTAGCAAGAGATAAGTTCTGCAGTCATTTTTTAGATTTCATTCAAGCCTTTTCTCATATTCAGAGAATGTCATCTCAATACCTTGATTTATTTCGAAGACAAACAGCTCCCCCCAGAGCAGTCACCAGTCCTATTCTGTAGATAAGTAATTTCTTACAAAAGGCAACTCCCACATTCAGCCAGTTATTGAACTTTTATTCCTCCTGAAATCCTATGAATCACTGATCCAGGCCTAAAAATTTGGCCCTGTTTATGAACAAAAGCAAACAGCACTGAAATAGTTACAATAATTATACAGTATGCTCCTTACCCCGTCTAGAAGAGTGTTTGTTAGATGTGTGCGAAGATCTTTACGAAACGGAAATTCCAGGTTGGATACGTGAAAAATAGAATTGTCTCTATCAATCATATAAACTTCATTCTTGCCATCAATCAGCATCATATACCTGCAAAGGCAGTGTTAAGATATTATAATTACGGGTATATCCTCAAAATATCTATTATTTTGTTTTATATTAAGTGAGAAAAGCAAGTAATCATGACAGATACTATTTAAAAAACATTTTATAAATACTTTTTTACATTGAAAAGTTTAAACCTGTAAACTAACCAAAGGGATATCGCAGACCATATGATGCTGTTCTCAGCAATAAAAAATGGGAGAAGGAGAAGGAAGCAGAGGACATTTGGAGTTATGGTGTTTTTCTTCCCAAGGCAGCGTTGTGCATCATGAAGCCCAGCTTTCCTGGAAATTGCTAAACACAAGCCTGCCAGTGGGAAATAGTAAAAATTCCTTATTTTTCCTTATATTTATTTCAACCCCTGATCTTTCTCACTTTCACCCTTCTGATTCTCTCCCCTATCCTGCTACAGGATGTGTGAGCTTAGTTGCTACAGGAGTTAAACCAGGCCACACCTTAGATATTCCTTTCACATGGACAAACACTGCAGAACTGGGCTACAATTCTTCAACTGAGTCCATGTAACAGACCTCTTAAAGCCCAAAGAGAATTTTCACAGGCATTCTGTATGGAAACAAAGTTTTTGTTAAGCATACATCTCTGCATGCCATCTTCCTTCATAACTAGATGATCAGGGTGGTCCCTTCCAATCCAAACCATTCTATGACCCTATGATTTCTATGATTCTGTATCTTACTTCAGAGAGATGCTGAGAAACAGCATGCACTGACTTTGAAAACAGAAAAAAATCTCATCTCAGGACAGTGAATTACTTTCACGTAGACCCATCTGTCTGGGTCTCATGGTAATATACCTGTCTAACTTAGAATCTGATCAAGTTCTCTGCTTGCGAAAGACATTAAACTGATCCAGATATGTCTCATTTTGAAAGGTTTTTTTTGAGCTTCTTTTAGCTGAATGGCTGAAAACTCTTTGTAGTCTCCCAATTTAATAAACTATTGCAACAAAACTCTGAATGTGGTCTCCAAACAATAGAATTTATCAAAATTCTAATTACTACCAACATCAGACAGAAAAAAAATTTGGTCAAGGATGGACTGAAAAACGGAAGTGGTTCTATGAGCAGCTAATAATTGAAAACATGCAAGAAGAAAGAGATAAGCAAGGTTTTGATGAAACTGAATTTATCAATTAATGAGGGATTTGAGCTGGTTGGCTGGTTGAGGTTTTCTGTTTACTTGTTTCACTCAAAAAGCTTAAGTTCATGTGCTTAATGTCAGGTTTAAAGTTTCATCCAGATGACACTACAAGCATTCATGGAGAAATCTTGTGGACTGCTGAACAGCACATTTCTGAATATTACTTCAATGTACCATGGCCATTTATATTTTAAGAAGTTAATTAAGGTATTAGGAGATAAGCACTTACACCAGAATAGAGAACACGCCTCTGGGCAACACCACAAAGGCAAAGAAAAAAAGTGATGATTTCTCAAACACATTCTCTAGAGACACAACACAGGAACTTAACTGTGACGCACTGCACTGCCCACTGTGAACACTACTTGCTATTACAGCTGAACATTTATTACTAATTACCTCTATTGTGTGAGCATCCAAAAGCACCAATTAGTAACCAGGCCCCATTGTTTTAGATTCTGGGCAAGTACACAAGATGACATGGTCCTACATCAGACGGCTCAATCCAAATGTAAAACCAGACAAGTGAATCAAATAACAACGACAGGGCAGCAATAAGAGCAATAACATAACTGCTCATTCACCTCTGAAAACTACACATGGAAGTACAGAATCATACTTGAGCTACAAACATCATCTCTTAAAACTGTCAGTGCAATCTCTATAAACGAAGAAATTCTGACAAATAGAGGGTCATGGTGTCCATGCAGATTAATATCACAAGCAGATAAAATATCTAGTCATAGAAATGGTAAAATCTAAAGTTTCATTAGAAGCTACTTTTCATTCACTTCTGATCCTGAGGCAACTCCTGTTATTAATTCTAACTGGGCAATATTATTAACACAATAATTCAGGAAATAGGATGAAAATTTCATTTGCAGAGTGACAGTTCTTGGCATTAGACAAACAGATCTCCAAATCACCTACCAGAGTATTAATAATTTTAATTTTTAAACTGTAAAAAAGGTCAACCATCGAATAAAGTTTCCTCTTCAGAAATCAGTTATTTTTAGCATACCCAAATAAAGGCAACTGTATCAAAGGCTCAATTGCTTCCTCCTATATCCTGTATCTTGCAGCCCACATCAGTTGGGCCCCAAACACAAGCTAAAATAATTATTTTATTAGGCTTCCATTTTCAGTTAAGTTTGTTTTGGTGGTGGTAGGTTTTTGGTTTTTACACGATTTTTAAGCTGACATGAACTACACTGAAAATCCAAAGTTAAAAACAGAGGTTTCTCCTTTATGTTGATGTTTAGTATTTTTCATCATTAAATTTGAAAGTGCATTTCAGGAAGATATTACTTAATGCATAAAATAAGGCAAATTACTTGGTGTCCATCAATATATGGTCACTGAGATTAAGGAACAAGAATAGAACTGCATTTCCCAATCACCAACTCCAACACTGTACCCACTGAAACACGTGGCTTCTGCCCTCTTTTCCCTATTATTATGATTCACAAAACTGGATTTGAAAATACTCCCCCAACACAGTACCTCACTACACATGGTGTACTGCTTGCCAAAACATATTTACCACAAAATTGATTGCCTATGTATTCACAGAAGTTTTGCCTCCAACTTCAATTTTGTGATGTGCTTTATTTTTGTTTAATTTTCTCTCAGCCAAAATGACAGCAACCATCTCAGCAGTAAGCTTACATATGTTAATTTTGTGCTTTATAGGAGTTTTAAAACCTGAAGACTAATATAAAAATACAACACAGCTTCCTCAAAGTTTAAGATCCTATCTTCTGAGCTTGAGTCCAACACACAAGTAATTTTCTGAAAAAAAAAATCTACAAGTAGCAAATGGATTAGAAATATTGTTTCAAAGGAAGCTTAAAAATTCAGCTCCTCTAGGAGCTTTCTTTGCCCTGCAGTATTTCTTTAGACAGGCTGTATCAAAGAAGATTATTCATTTCGACACAGTGCTGCCATCGCTGCTTTTTTTAAATTTTCCTTTTTAAATATGCCTGTGTCTGTATTATCACATTAAAGAATGCAAAATATAAGAAATTCCATCATCAACTCTAAGCACGAAATACACAGCAGCTCTCCATTCCGAAGGGAGTTCATTATACAGCCTGGAATTCAGTCTTGTGCAAGTGCTGCCCTCCCACACAAATAAGCATTACCCAAATCTGAACAGCAATTAGCATCTCTAATATGCTCACTGACGCAGAGGTAACAACGAAATCCTGCTACAGATATGATTTTCAATTTCTTAATTTCCTTTTATGATTGGCAACGTTTCAAAACCACGAGCATGTCACCACTCTGCAGATGGATCACCTAAGATGAGGCCAAGTCACACGAGTGCTTTACATTGGACCCTGCCGCTCCCTCCTGGCAAGAAAGCATCAACTTCTGGCCAGATGCATCAAACACTGAGGAAAAGGCCAGGAGAATGAAAATTAATGACTGCCCTTTATTCACTGACAGTAGGAGATCATCTATCTGTGTCACTAAGCTGCTGCAGTTCCATGCCCTGACCCGAATCCAGGCTGTGCTGGATTTAGAGTAAGTTTAAATTAGAAGAATTTGAAGCTGGCTTGTGGTACATGGAACAAAAGACCCTAAATCCCAATAAATGGGGAAGGCTCAGCTTGCTTTCTTCCATGAATTGCTGCTGGCAATGGTTACTGCTTTAAAAGATGTCTCCTCAAGGATGACAAAGCCTGGATACAGGGACACTAACACAGGAACTTACAAGAAGACTTATAATATTATTTTCAATGTGTAAACAAAAGGAAACAATGTCTTTTTAATCAGCACATTGACAGTTCTATCACAAACCACCTTCTCCAAAGATGTTGTCATTTGCATGAGTACATGGCACACCAGCCAGCAAGAGACACTGCTTTCTACATGCAGCAGCTGCTGTAGAATTATGTATTCAACAGTCCAAATTCCAAATAATTTTTTTTAAGCACACACACAGACCTTTGGAAGTTAGTCTGCTCTGAGTATACCAACACTTTGTATTTCTCTTGCTTATTTCTAGATTAAAGCATGCCATCAACAGTCTCCACAGCATTTTAAACCAAAAAAATCCCTTAGATTGTGACTGACAGTCATTTCCAATTAACAGTCTCCAGCTCCAATATTTTCATTCATGACCTTGCATTTTCTACTACTAAATATCCTTCCAGTTTTATTATTCTGCTCCTCAGTGAATTCAGTGGCTGATCTCCCTCATTTTTTTATCAGAACATACTTGGATTCTGTTTCACAATACTTAATGATACAAAAAAATTTATATTCAGGAGCTCTACTTGTAGTTTTTTATGCATTTTCTTTCAAAACCATCCACTGCCATTTTCTTTCAATCTATTCTTTACCTATCTTAGAATTCTAGCAATCTTCTTAGCCTCATTTTCTCTAATAAACAGCAATTTTTCAAAGTCCAGGAGCATGAGATATACCAGTCTTTCTAGGTCAAAATCGCAATTTTTCCCTTATATGAACTCCTACCAAAATGGCTGAACTCAGAAAAAATCCCATTCCTCATCTATACTGCAGACTGTGTTCCTCAGTCACAGTAATTATGAATAATTCTTTTAACTACTGCCCTTAGGGCAATCAAATCTGTCATTTAATAAAGAGAAAACCTGCATTTTTGATCTATTTTTACCTCTCATTACAAGCACAATTATTTAAATGTAAAGCAAAGCCTTAGCATGATTGATCCAAACTTAGCCTCTAAAATCAACACTTTTTTTTCCCCTCAGTATTAAAATACTGTTACTAGGTTCTTGTTTAGTACATAAATGTATCTTGTATATCTCTTACTACACTCAAAAGCACTTGGATTTG